GCGGCGTGGTGCGCGGGGAAGGGGGGGGACGGGTCATATTCATCATCCTACGCCGTCAATGATTTGACATTCCTGCGTCCTGAATGATATGATTTCCCCTCATATTGATATAATCCTACACCCTCCACCACCGGTACGCGACGCGTCAACACATCGAGTAACGGTCTTTCACCCTGTCCATCCACAACCTTGTGCACATCGCCTGCGTTTTGTCACCTGGTGGCTTGCAATACGCGCACACGCCTGGCGTCCTCTGCGCGCCAGCCGGCGCCCGCTGCGTACGTCACAACAGCGCATACCGGTACCTGCCGAAGGGCGTGCTGTGTTGTGGTTCTTACCACCTGGGATGGGGCCCTCTGTGTGCAATTGCCAGTGAACCACTGTCAGTCAGGGAGTGCCATGCACATGCGTTCAAATGGCTGAGCAGCAAAGGCCAGTAAGCTATTCTGGCGTAGCCGGAGTTCCCACCGCAGGGCGAGTGGACAATGACAATGCGTCCGGGCCAGATTTGGGCGGCTTCGCGGGCCGCTGCCCGTGATACCTGCAGAGCTGGTGCGCCGCTTGAACTCCTGGTGCAAGCCTATCCGTGTATTGTCGTACCCGATGCTGCTTCGCCACTTCGAGTTTGTGAAGGGTTCGAAACGGTCACCAGCCTAGATCATGCGCTCTGGCGCGATTAGCAAGCGCTGAAGGGGGTGAGGCCAGAGAGCGTTGTGCAAATGGGGACGAGGATGAGGCTTTTGCAGAGGACAGTAGCGAGCAAGGTGATGAAGATGGCATGTTTACGAGCAGGTGAGCGGTGCCGCGACCCGGCAGCTCCCTGTGTGCGCTCTGCTCTCGCTGCACCGCACTCCGCCCCAGCGCAAAACGTGCCGGAGCGCACAATGATTGCAGCGCCGTACGTACTGCCAACTCCAGCGATGGGCGTCCCGATACACAGCCCCTCCCTGGGAGTGCAACCGTGGCTCCAGCGCGCCCCGGACCAGCTGGTGTCAGTCTTGTCGGGCTGCGCCACCTGTTTGCTCCATGCAACCGGATGCTGCACGCGCGCGTGCTCAATTTGATGCCACACAGGCAACAGGTGATAACAGCTTGCCGCTGTCTTGCCAACGCCGGCAGTGTCAATGTTGCTTTGAAGGGCTTTTGGTGTCCACTGCACCACCGGGGCCCGAAGACACTGGGTCACACGTGCTACCCAGGGTGGACAGAAACAAAGCTGCAGCAGGATGCGAGGGGCAGGTGCATGATTCAGGCACCAGGGTGGGTTGCGTGATGCCATCTCACCTGGTGGTAGGCAGCCTAGTGTGCGTGGAGTGGCAGCTGTTGCTCGGGCGGAACCCCGCCACTGGTTGAGCATATTTGAGTGGGCAAAGCTGGTTTCATGAGCTCCCCAGCTTTCACACAGCCAGACATCGCATTGCGACCTGCGCCGGTCAACCTGCCCATCAGGTCAGTCGCAGCACCGTCCAAGGCCGAAGGTGCGGGGCCATGAAGAGCGGCTGGCGGAGCTGAGTCGGCAGCTTGGCGAGCTGCGGAGGCCGCCATGCAGCGCAGGCAGTGGGAGGGGTCGTCGATAGCGGCGGCGCCGGCGCGGCAGGCCACGGCGACGGTGAGCTTTCGTGCAAGGCGCTGGGCGACGGCGGCGGCGGCGCTGCTGCAGGCAGCGGGCACCAGGTGGGGGCGGGAGGGGTTTGCTTGGGAATGCTGCATTGGCGTGCTGCCGGCCTGCTGGCCCGGAGAGGAGGCAGCCTCGGGCAGCTTGTGGGTGCCGCGCTGCATCTCTGACGGAGGTGAGGCGGGCAAGCTACTCTTCATGACCCTGGAACGATGGCGGCTACCGTCCCGACAGCGCAGGGCAGCCTCACGACTGCACACGACAGGCTGCAGTCGTGACAACAGGCAAAATCAGCCCAAGAGTGCCGCGGCTTCTGCAGCTGAGCGAGTAGCCTGTAGGTGTCAGACGCAAGCGCCATCCCTCCACGTATTCCTGGTTCAAACCCGGGCCGTCGTGTCGCGTTGAACGTCTCACCCTGCCATTTTGGTCGGCCGTGGCTGCGGCGGCGATGGCACCTCTGGTGTGGTGAGCGGGGTCTGCGGCGCGGCGGGCATGGAGGCGTGTTTGCCGCTTAATCCGCGAGGCTGGCCGCAGGCGGCGGGCGATGGACTTTGCGTAAAGCGATGTGTGCAGGTGGGGCCCGGAGCGCGTTTATGTTGAGTTGTCTCTGTTCCCTGATTGGGAGTTGGGGGCAGCCCGGGGGCCCGCACGGGGCGCTTGCATGGGGTTGACCCTTGACATCTCAGAACCAAGCCATGTGCTTGCTCCTCTGGGTTGGGGACGTTGCCCCCCATGGGGAGCCAGGGTCATCCCCTGTCCACAGGGTTTCCCCTCACTGCTGGCAAAGCATTGTATATTGCGATGTAATGCGAGCCACTTGCCGGGAAGGTGTCCTGCGGCCCGTCCGTCCCGCTCGCCAACGCCTGCGTGGACAAATTCGACCACTTGTCCCCATGCAGCAGCAGTGCTGGTTCTCTGCGCGCAGTCATCGAGCCAGGGTGGTTGCAGGCGCTGTTGCCTCGGTGGCGTCTGCCCTGCCAGTGGCAAGCTGGCTGTGCTGCCTCAGTGCACCCTGGTTGGCCGTGCGATGGACGGAAGGCAAGGGTGTTTTTCTCTCACAGAGCAATGGGGCACTTGTGTTTGACGGGCGGATGCTGCGGGTACACGATAGATGCCCACTGGCAAGAAAGCCAACCAACACGCACGTTGCCTGCCAAGCACGCCACTGGTCACGCGATGCTGCCGGCGCGTGACAGTACCGCCGAGCAGCACGATGTGCGCAGGTGAGGATGTGGCGCAGAGGATATGGGGTCACCCGACCGTAATGCTACCGCCTCTAGGCTCCAGAGGAGAGGCGGCCTCCAGGCTTTACAGGAGAGGCGTGAGGGTTGGTTGGGACGAATGTCAGTGGTTTGAACCGGCCAGGGAGCTGTTTAACCATAATCTGCAAAGCAGCAGCTGTCATCTGGACAGCGACCCTCGTGGCAAGCGCTGTGTGCTTGCATCCAATACATCATATGTTTGAATTGTTATCTGCCATGGACACTCCCCGCAGGGACCCAGACATGTGGATCGTGCCTCCACCAGAGCGGTGCAGAGCACGAACAAAGCACACAATGCATGTTTGCTGCTTACATGATGCCCCGGAACAACTGGCAGGTGCAAATTCACATCCCAAGGCTTGCCTCAGACTTGACACACTCGCATCTGCGCCCGTCCCGGCACCTGGTGCTGCAGGGGCGACCCCCCCCCCCTGCTGGAGCGCGACGCGAGAGGGCGGCGGCTGGTGGCACTCGCTCCCTCCCGCACCTTGATCCTTGACGCGCGGGGAAGAGAGCGAGTTCTTATTGTAGGATCCAACGGGGAGGGAGCCGGCATCAAGGGGCTAAGGTGAGGCAATGTTGTCCATGGCCCATGTGCATGTTTGTCCCGGCCAAACCGCAGCCTGTCAAAGTTTCTCAAGTACACGCACCAACACCGTCGAACTTTGGCCGGCGCATGTGTATGTGCTTGCGCCCGGCCCATCGTGTGGGAACATCGCTGGCCGCGAAGTTCGCATCGATGTTCATGTGCTGCCAGCAGGCAGGGTCCCCGCAAAGCGCCGCGAGCAACGCAAGCCTTGATCGCAAACAACCGTGGATGTCTGACCAAATATTTTTGTTATCTCTTGTTCTACTGCGCTTTTCAGTCTTCCTACCGTATGGTGTGACCCATGAACTCCATAGCTGGCCGGCTTTTCCTGAGATTCCTACGCAAGAGCGCCCCTGGTTGACAGGCCGCCTGCAGCATCAACCGAGTCGTTAGCAGATGCTATAACCATAGCGAAAATTTCACCCAGTAACTCGCCTTTTGCCTGGGGAGCAGACTGCGAATCCAAAGTTGCTCCCGGGAGGAGCCACGTCGCGGTCACCTGCGGCTGAAACAAAAGAATGGGCTGCTCGGTCTCGGTGAGTGCGCTGCCGGCGAGGGTGAAGAGGGGAAAGGCACGCATGCCTGCCCGCAACGAGCTTCACCTTCGCCTCCCGTCTTGGCCTCTGCCTGATGACCCGCCCCTCCCTGCCTTGCAGCTTCCCATCGATGCGGTCCCCGAGACATACGAACTCGCACCGCGCGGCCTTCCGCCGCTTGCACCTCATCATTGTGATGCCCTGCCTGCCAAGGGCGCCGCCGCAGCGACGGCCGTTTTCGTCGCGCACGCTGAGGCCATCCGCCTCGGCAGCAGCAGCAGCGCTAGCGCCAGCGGCAGCGGCACCACCAGCAGCCATTCCTCCGCAGCGAACTCGTTCCATCGGATGAGCACGGACGCTGTGGCGACCGTTGCCTCTTTTGACGACGGGGAGGTGGTGACATCACTTTCTGGGAAGATCAGAGGCATCAAGGCGGCGGACGGCCTCGGCGCTGATCTGGTCCAGAACCTGCCCCTCCAGCTGCCGGGCCACCACCGCCACTTCGCCCCTGCCGCGGCCCACAAGCCACCATGGCAGCTGGAGACGCAACGCGACGCCGAGGAGCCTGCCGGCGAGCCGCCGCGGCAGCGCGCGACCCATGCCCCCGACCCGCAGCGGCGGCCGCCGGAGCGCATGTCGTTCGACGAGGCGAGGCAGCAGCAGGAGCGGATCGGCAGGCGGCTGAGTGAGCTGCAGGCCCAGCAGGAGGCGCTGCAGGCGGAAGCGAAGCAGCGCGAAGAGGAACTCCTGCGCCAGCAGCAGCTGCTGCTGCAGCAGGCCGAGGCGCTGAGGCTGCAGCACGCAGCCGCCGCTGCGGCCGCCGCCGCCGCGGCGGAGGCGGAGGCGGCCGATGCGCGCTCTGCGCTCGTGTGCGGCGCGCCGGGCGCCGGGCCGTTCCAGACGAGCATGGCGCAGTCGGCGCCCTGCAACCTGGCGCCCAAGGCGCTGCGCCAGCAGATGCTCGCGCTGCGCCGCAACGGCAGCGGCGTGTCACTCGC